TGTATATATATATATATATATATATATATATATATATATATATATATATATATATATGGTATATATATATATATATATGTATATATATATATATATATATATATATATATATATATATATATATATATATATATATATATATATATATATATATTAGTGGTCTGTATATATATATATATATATATATATATATATATATAAATATATATATATATATATTAGTGGTCTGTATATATATATATATATATATATATCTCTCTCTATATATATATATATATATATATATATATATATATATATATATATATATATATATATATATACATTAGTGGTCTCTCTCTCTCTCTCTCTCTATATATATATATATATATATATATATATATATATATATATATATATATATATATATAATATTAGTGGTCTCTATATATATATATATAATATTAGTCTCTCTATATATATATATATATATATATATATATATTATATATTTCCAAGAGAATAAAATCCAGGTAGAGCTCTATGTACAAGACAGAGCAAGAATATGATATAAAAGACTCAAACTAATTTAAACTGTTAGCTGTAGAAAACCGCTTTCTAAAATCAATGGTTAAAAATAGCTTTGAGTGACTGATGCCTGTGGGTCTTGCCAAAGACCATCCTTTGTGGATTGGTGCTACAGAAGTACAAAGATTTGTACTAGATAACAGAAACCACATCACTTGAGGACTTTCAACAACACCAACTCCTAAAATGGTTACCACATATAACTCAATGAGAAAATAATTCAGACCATTGGTGATTATGACTCTCCATAATTTCCTGTCCTTTGTAGCTCTTAATAAATGTTGTCTTTTTTATTATCTCTTCTAAACTCTGTTCTTCCACCCATTTGCTCAAGCTTGCTAAGTAGGTTCTGCTCTGTTTTTCTCTGTCTCTCTTGCTTCTGTCCTGGGAGTATCAAATTTTCCAAGCTCTCTTTCCTCATGTGATCTAGAAATTTCAACCATCTCTTCATGATGTTAAGTATAAGTGTCCTTTTTGTTTCTCTGCCTGTTGCTTTAAGCTTCTTTTTCATCTCTGATGAGATTGTCCAGCATTCACATCCATATAGGAGGACTGATATTGCGTAACATTTCCGTACTCTTTTCTTTGTTCTGAACAAAATTTTTCTGTTTCTTAATACTTTGCTTAGCTTTTGAAAGGTATCTTTTACTATCCAAATGTGCCTTCGGATTTCAGTGTCTAAAATAGTAATAGATAATGCATGAGAAATGGTGTGCATATAGAAATATATTTAACTCTGACAAATTAATTGATGCCCATATTAAAAATCAGTCAAGTCCTATCAGAACAGTTCCCAACAAGATGAATGTAAGTTCAAACTTGTTTTGTTTGTGAAGACAAACTTAAAATTTGCATAAATTAAGATTTTGTAAAAGAACATTAAACAGGTTCTAATTATAGTGGACAAATTACTAAAATTTATTTTGATAACTAAGCGATTCCAGACAAGTTAAAACATCTTTTCCTTGAAAATTATGAAGTTATATGCCTACAAGTTGAATACAAACTTAAAATTTAATTAAGTTGGAATTCAATTAACTTATAATTTGCAGAGAAAAATAAAAATTACACAGCATTTAAAATATACATCAAATTATTAATCTAGAAAGTTTCAGCTTTCAAGTATTTACAGTTATTTTGTTATTAAAACATTAGTTATTAATTTATTGGAATTTATATTCTCTTCAAGTATGACACTACCAAATTGAGTTGAGTATTTTTCTGCTAAATATTCATCTGTATTTAGTGTCTACTATTATGTCTACACATCATATATAAATAAGAGGATAGTACATCAAGCTGTAAATGAGTCTGTGTGACAGCCAGATATAACAGTCTGAGCCAGTTAATAAAAAAAAAAAAAAACTATCTTCCTGTGTTTTGTCTGTTCCTTGTTATACAAATAGTAATATTTGGTGTTTCCTTATAAGGAAACATTTGGCATTGATTGACTGAGCAGCCAATCCTTATGTCAGTTGAAATTTATAAAATCTTTCTCTTGAAACATTTTTTCAGGAAAGTGTTTCTCAAGTCCAGGAGTTGTTATCATTCTTTGATGGGAGTTTCCTTCCTAACCTTTTATTTGAAGTCATGTGGAACATTAGTATCTTGATTATATTATTATTTTCTCTTTGAGGTACATACAATATCAATTTTGAAAGTCGACAATTGATGTTGTTTCTGTTATTTGGTACAATTCTTTGTGATTCTGTAACGTCAATCCACAATGTTCAAAGTGGTGTGGTCTTCACCAGGAGACACAGGCTTCACTCACTCAAAGCCATTTTTAACCACTGATCTGAGAAAGTGGTTGTATACAGCTGAGAGTTTAGATATTTCTGAACATGGTTGACGATATGCATAACATCTATAATGAAAGTCTTGATTTAAGTGTGTTGGAATGTGTCACAAAAAAATAAATGATTTCATCTCTTTCTCTCCTGCTGTCATAGCGACGGACACAGTCTCCACTTCTGAGACTGAAAAAAACTGCCCTCCTTCTCATTCCAGCCTTTTTCATAGAGCTTGGTAACTCACCTATGCAAAACACCAACAAGCCAGCTACCAATCACAGTTCCCGCACCTGCCCACCTCCACTCGATTTGGGGGTGTCAAGTTGACCGACCAACTCATTACATTAAGCTATTTAAGAACCTGAGTTCAGTAGCTTTTATTGCTCTTTCCAGTATTGATGGCGCTCTCCTTCCAAATCTGTTATTTGAAGTAGTGTAGAAGGTCAACACCTTGATTATGTCATTATTTTCTCTTCAAGTTACATGTGCTATCCATTTAAGTTGTTGCTGCTGTTGGTAGTCCCCAAGTTATGTGATTTCTATTATTTTTGTACTGTTCTTTGTGATTCTGTAGCACCAGTTTATAAAGTTCAAAGAAGAATGACCTTTGTCAAGATACTCGCTGAAAGCCTTTTTCTTTTTCATCATTGATCTTAGAAAGCTGTTTTGTACAATGTATGATATCCACCATATGAAAGTCTCAATCAGATGAAGCTATTTAAGAACAGGACTTGAGTTTTTAGCTTAATGTTTTGTTGGGTGAAACAACCTTTAGCACAGCCGATTTTGTGTTCAATTTCCTTTTCTTTTATACTAAATTACTTATAACTTAACCATACACCAGTCTTTATAAAAAAAAATACCAGACAATTTTTTTTTCCCTAAATTACTTTGTTGGATTGCTATTTTATAACAGCTTCTTACATCAAGTTAGGGAATCATTACAAAATGTATAAATTTTTAAATGTTTTGTCTACTCAAACATATAAATATGTGGGACTAAAGAAAATGAAGAGTGTCAAAATACCTTTACCATTTTTATTAACTGTAACAATACAAAATGACTATAAAATATGATATGAACATTGTACTTACAATAGATGATGGTTGTACTTTAAAAGATTACTAACTTTAAGTTAAGGTGAGGTCATCGTTTACCAGCTAGGAATATCTTTTGTTCCCTGTTGGTATGAGTCTGGACCTTGGTTGTGGCACCAGACTAATTCTCTAATCCATCTTGTTTGTCCCTAACTGTGCCAAAGGCACTAACTCACGAAGTTATCTGCTCTCAAGGCGAGTGGTTCTATCTAAAACCCTACAATCTCAACTATTTTGAGAATATAGAAGTTTTAAATTTGCACTTTATCTGCTTTCTTCTTCACCTTTTTCTTTGAATTGAATATTTTTCAAAGGGCAAAATTTCAACATCTCAACCTTCAACAACTCCCAGACATAGACGTGTGGTATATTCATAATCAAATTGCATCATATTCTTCCTTTGTCTTTATGATCATAGCTTTGGAAAGTCTAAGTTTCAATCATGTCCATCCAAGACCCAAATATTCAATTATGTTATCGTTATAATAATGAAAAGCATATTAATCTTTTTTGACAATCACATTGATTTATTTTTATAGCATGTATTTGGAGCAAAGAATTTTTTTTTTTTATAAAACTTTATTTTATAATTATTGAATGAGACATTCTGTGTCATCCGTTTTCTTTTCAGCTGTATCGATAAACTGCCAAATATCCAAATTATTTTTCATATTATAGATATTTTTTATTGTTATTCAGGCCAACTTCTGATTAGACAGAAAATCAATCATAAATTACTTCAGCTTTTAAACCTGTATTGGACCAATTACAGATTATACAGACTTATTCTGTATGTTCTCGTCTGAAACCAGGAACTGTAACATTAAAAGAAATATACTTAGGAAATCATTTTCATATGAAATATCTATTTTTATCCTTCATAAATATCAGACGTAGCTAAATTTTCTATTTTAAGTCTTTGTTTCTAATAAATGCACATTTTATATATATATATATATATATATATATATATATATATATATATATATATATCTGTGTTTATTTAATTCTGAATGTGGATTTCTGTCAGGTAGGATGGTACAGCAAAAAGTAAGATGAAAAAAATTCAAAAATAAAACTTAGAAGTAAAAGAAGCGAAAAGAAGTTACAGAAATTTCTTACGATCACTGACTGAAAATCTGGGGAGGAAACAGAAAAGTGAAAAAGAAATAGAATGAAAGCAAAGAAGAGAAAAAGATGAGATGAAAAATAAAGACTGGAAAGAGAAAAAGAACAAGAGAAAAAGAATATTTATGAATCTGAATTAAAGAAGACAGGCAGTAAAAGGACAAAGGTGAGAAAGAAAAGGGAATGAAGAAGTGAGGATAAAAAGAAGTGAAAGAAAATAGAGAAATAAAACTCAATAAAGAAAAAGAAAAGGAAAAGTTTGTAAATAAAAAGAAAAAAGAGTAAAAGGGAGAAAATAGAAGAAAGAGAAACGAAAAAAAAGGTTGTAAATGAAGAGAAGAAAGAAAAGGGAAAAGAAAATGTTGTAAATGAAGAGAAAAACAAAGAAAAAAGGTTGTCAATTAAGACAATAAATTAAAGGGAAAGAAAATGTAAATGAAAGGAAGAAAAGGGAAAGAGAATGTAAATGAAGAGAAGGAAGGAAAGGGAAAGAGAATGCAGATGAAGCGAAGGAAGGAAAAGGGAAAGAGAATGCAGATGAAGCGAAGGAAGGAAAAGAAAAAGAAATGCAGATGCAGCGAAGGAAGGAAAGAGAATGCAGATGAAGCGAAGGAAGGAAAAAGGGAAAGAATGCAGATGAAGCGAAGGAAGGGAAAGAGAATGCAGATGAAGTGAAGGAAGGAAAAGAGAATGCAGATGAAGCGAAGGAAGGAAAAGGGAAAGAGAATGCAGATGAAGCGAAGGAAGGAAAAGGGAAAGAGAATGCAGATGAAGCGAAGGAAGGGAAAGAGAATGCAGATGAAGCGAAGGAAGGGAAAGAGAATGCAGATGAAGCGAAGGAAGGAAAAGGGAAAGAGAATGCAGATGAAGCGAAGGAAGGAAAAGGGAAAGAGAATGCAGATGAAGCGAAGGAAGGAAAAGGGAAAGAGAATGCAGATGAAGCGAAGGAAGGAAAAGGGAAAGAGAATGCAGATGAAGCGAAGGAAGGAAAAGGAAAGAGAATGCAGATGAAGCAAAAGGAAGGAAAAGGAAAGAGAATGCAGATGAAGCGAAGGAAGGAAAAGGGAAAGAGAATGCAGATGAAGGAAGGAAGGAAAAGGGAAAGAGAATGCAGATGAAGCGAAGGAAGGAAAAGGGAATGCAGATGAAGCGAAGGAAGGAAAAGAGAATGCAGATGAAGCGAAGGAAGGAAAAGAGAATGCAGATGAAGCGAAGGAAGGAAAAGAGAATGCAGATGAAGCGAAGGAAGGAAAAGGGAAAGAGAATGCAGATGAAGCGAAGGAAGGAAAAGGGAAAGAGAATGCAGATGAAGCGAAGGAAGGAAAAGGGAAAGAGAATGCAGATGCAGCGAAGGAAGGAAAAGGGAAAGAGAATGCAGATGCAGCGAAGGAAGGAAAAGGGAAAGAGAATGCAGATGAAGCGAAGGAAGGAAAAGGGAAAGAGAATGCAGATGAAGCGAAGGAAGGAAAAGGAAAGAGAATGCAGATGCAGCGAAGGAAGGAAAAGGGAAATAGAATGCAGATGAAGCGAAGGAAGGAAAAGGGAAAGAGAATGCAGATGAAGCGAAGGAAGGAAAAGGGAAAGAGGAATGAAATATTGTGAATTGTATAAAAGAAATGAAAGACAAAAAAAGGAAATACAAAAGTCTAACAAATCATTAAAAATTAAAAACAAGGAAATATTACAAAAGACAGGAAATAAATTTGAGAGAAAAAGAAATGAGTGGATAAAAGAAATATTTAACCTAAAGCTGTTTAAAATTTTTTATACATGTCCCTTCAGGAGGAAGGTGATCATAGCACTACACAGCTTCCTTTTAATATCTGTAAATGTTGATTTGCAATGATTTTGCTTAGGAAAGACAGTGGATTGACTTTTCATTGCCATCTTCACTCTTTTGAATTCTGAATTGTCTATCACCTGTACTGGTTGTCTTACCAGAGTGAGGAAACACAGTCTACCTTGCTATTTTACCTAGAGTATTGCTATTTAATATTTTAGTACCATGTCCCTTCAGAATATAGGCAATCATGACTCATTGCAGTTGTCTTTTTTGTTAATAACTGTAAATTGTACATTGTAATGAGAAGGACAGTGGAATGGTTTACTTGTGCCTTTTCCAAAGTTTTATATTGTCCTGCTCTAAACGAGTTGCTAATCATGGTTAAAGAACCCACTCTACTATATTGTCCTGCTGTATAAACGAGTTGCTAATCATGGTCAAAAAAACCCGCTCTACTATATTGTCCTGCTCTAAACGAGTTGGTAATCATGGTTAAAAAACCTGCTCTGCTATATTGTCCTGAAATAAACGAGTTGCTAATCATGGTCAAAGAACCCGCTCTGCTATATTGTCCTGCTCTAAACGAATAATCATGGTCAAAGAAACTATATTGTCCTGCTCTAAACGAGTTGCTAATCATGGTCAAAGAACCCGCTTACTATATTGTCCTGCTTAAACGAGGAAGGTCATGGTCAAAAGAACCCGCTCTACTATATTGTCCTGCTCTAAACGAGTTGGTAATCATGGTTAAAGAACCCGCTCTTATATTGTCCTGCTCTAAACGAGTTGCTAATCATGGTCAAAGAACCCGCTCTGCTATATTGTCCTGCTCTAAACATTGTTGCTAATCATGGTCAAAGAACCCGCTCTGCTATATTGTCCTGCTCTAAACGAGTTGCTAATCATGGTCAAAGAACCCGCTCTGCTATATTGTCCTGCTCTAAACGAGTTGCTAATCATGGTCAAAGAACCCGCTCTGCTATATTGTCCTACTCTAAACGAGTTGCTAATCATGGTCAAAGAACCCGCTCTACCATGTCCTGCTCAAACGAGTTGCTAATCATGGTCAAAGAACCCGCTCTGCTATATTGTCCTAACTCTAAACGAGTTGCTAATCATGGTCAAAGAAGGACTCTACTATATTGTCCTGGTTTAAACGAGTTGCTAATCATGGTCAAAAAGAACCCGCTCTACTATATTGTCCTGCTCTAAACGAGTTGCTAATCATGGTCAAAGAACCCGCTCTACTATATTGTCCTGCTCTAAACGAGTTGGTAATCATGGTTAAAGAACCTGCTCTGCTATATTGTCCTGCTCTAAACGAGTTGCTAATCATGGTCAAAGAACCCGCTCTGCTATATTGTCCTGCTCTAAACGAGTTGCTAATCATGGTCAAAGAACCCGCTCTACTATATTGTCCTGCTCTAAACGAGTTGCTAATCATGGTCAAAGAACCCACTCTGCTATATTGTCCTGCTCTAAACGAGTTGCTAATCATGGTTAAAGAACCCAATCTGCTATATTTAATTAATTACTGAAAAGAGAAATGATGCTAATGACATTAATAGTAAGTGAATATAAACTGCTTGGAATGTAGTTTGAACCCCTCTCTCTGATTCCATTCACTATGTTATTTGTTAAGCTATCCACACCTCTATCAAGAGAAAACAAGAAGAAAGAAGTTAAAAGTGAGGAAGACAGAAGTAAAAGAGAAAGGAGTGGTCCAAAAATTTGAAGAGTAATAGGAAAAAGAGATGTAAAGTGAAAAGAGAAAAAATGGATTTCTGCAAATGATACCAGTTCCAAAATCATTTTAATGATATCCATTTATTGACATTAACTATAAAGTCAATCAAGACATTAGTGCAGTAAAAATATATATTATAAGCAGAACTTTGTCAAAAAGCAAAAGAGAAAATTAAACAAAGAAACTGATTCTTTAAATTACAGGTTTGGTGCAAGCATCTAAATGTACAGATATTTGGCAAATCAAAAGAAAGGAATATTTATCTCTGAGACAATGTGGCTCCAAAGTATGTAATTCCTATGCCAGTAAGAACCAAAGTTTGGAATGAAAACAATAAAGGTAAAAAACAAGTCTTTGGCATGACAGAGAAAATTTTCTGATTCAGAAAGAGATTTTTAAAACATTTCAAAGAAATTGAATAAGAAAATTATTTCCAATGTTTGACATTGAAGTAACACTCAAATCTTTTTTTTCTTCTTTTTAATATGCTGCTTCTTAGATTCAGTTTCCAGAGTGACATTTTTCTTAGAAACCCAAATTCCAATCCCAGATTTTCTTTTGTAAATCCTCATTACCCCAAAGTTTATTAAACACACAGTTCAGTTTTCTGTAATCCTTTTCCCAGGATAACACATATAATATCTGAAGATGAGACAAAGAAATACAGTATAAAAGCTATAAACGTCTCCTTTCACCAAGATCATCTACTTCTTCAGGTTAGAATGAAAGACAAAACTGCATGTACTGAAAAATGCATTGGTATTTCTGAGGATAATAGGGAAACAGTTCTAGTTGCATACTAGTTGCATATTGCCACGTCAGGCGGTAATAAATTACTGCTTGATTGTCAATTATGTTAATCATTGCTTTGATGGTCAAATACTGCCAAGGATATCTGATAAAAGTGCAGAGGATCATGTTCTGTTGAATAAAAGTTTGTTGTAATTTGTTCCGTGAAGGGTGGTGTACATTGATGATGGTGTAACATCTCACTTTTCTGGTTGATTGTCTATAAAAATGAAATCACTTCTCAGTTAATATTTTTTCATTATTCAAAAGCTCTAATATTAAAGCGTTGCAAATACAAGAATTTTAAAAGATGAAATAAAGAAAATAAGAATTATTACACAATGAAATAACTACAGACAGGGCAAGTGCGAGAGTCTTGTGCACTGAAGCTGATACAGCCCTCACCAATCTATGATATGAACCCATCACTTCTTCTACATGTAAATTTTCATATGGCTGTGTTCATATAATATAGATATTTTATTGTAGCCTAATTATGTACAATAATGGATCAGATGCAATATAGATGAATAATTCAAGTAGATAAATTACAAATAAATACAATGTATTTAAATAAAAATTAGAGACATGTATTCATAGATTATTACATCTTAAATTAATAATATTTTACAGCAATTTTTAACATCTACTTGAGACTTTCCTTGTTAAAAAGTTGAATTTTAACACATTCAGCATGGATGAAAAAAAAAAGTGAATTTCATATCATATTTTTCTATATCATATGATATGAATTTTATTTTATATTTTTTATATCATGTCATATGAATTTTATATCATATTTTTTGAGACTTAGCATGATCAAAAGAATTTCAAGAATTGAACAAAAAAAAAAAAATCAGTTCCCAGAATGATGTCAAAATCAGCAAAATTTAACATTCAATTGTGCTTAGATTAATTTCTAACATATAAATGTAGATAGAAAAAAAGCAAATGTTTATAAGTTAGTGGAAAGTACTTCCCAAAGCTCCCAATCGGGCTTCTCCGAAGGTGTTTGGTGGTATTACGCACCAACGCTGACTACAGGTACAAATCTCTTTATAGCAAGAATTTTCTTTAATATCTCAAAAACACTTCTCAAATCTTTCCAGGTTCCATTGGGAAAGACACACCTTTAGCAATTTACTGTTATAAAATCTTTGTGTTAAAATTTATTTGACAGCTAATCTTAATATTATATTAATATGATAATATACTTCCAGAAGTCAATTTTGTATATTTTTACTTTTGCCTTGACAGTGAAGCTAAACAAAACATAGAATTTATCTTTTCTTTTCTTTGTAAAATTTCTTTTTGTCTTCTGTCTTTCAATCTTTTGAATTTTTGCCCTTATAAGAATGCAAGAGGTAGAAGATCCAAGAAACTAGCTCAGAACTTAAACACAGCTTGCCGATTCCACATTCCCTGCTGATATCAGTTACACACATCCACATTTATATGTATATTTAAGTGAACATACATAGAGAAGAAACGTTGAATACAGTCAAGCAGAATAGAAGCAACAGTTTCCGCAGCAGGCAGGCAGGCAATCAATACATTATGTTTAAAATTCCAAGTTTTAGATTCATGATTGTCTTATGGAACAGTAGCCGAGTAGATCAAAGCTTCGATTAATGAATTTTGGTGATATAGTTCAATCCCTGGACTGGGAAGAATAGAAGCAGTGAGCAGTAATAAATATCATATATGAGCAATGAATAAAGAAGTAAATTTAGTCAAGTATAACAGTAGCAGCAGGGTCAGCAGCAGGCAGGAAAGAATATTAGGTTTAAAGCTCCAAGTTCTAGCCTCAGGATTGTCCCATGGGGCAATAGCCTAGTGGATTAAAACATTGCTTTTTGACATAATTATGAGTTCAATCCCTAGGCCAGGTAGTATATACTTCTTCTCTAATACTGCTTGGTTATTGCTCATCCTGTTTCCACTGAATCTAAGATGAGATATAACTAGATGTTTATGACAATGGATTAAAAAAATATATAGGCATGTAGATTAAATAAAGTTTTCAGTAGAAAAGTCTCTGAAGATTATCTGAATTATAAACACCTGAAAGGTTATGAAGGTTTATTTCAAGGAATTGAATGTTCATGCCTTGCATCATTTATTACCCCACCACTATAATGTTAAAGACTTAGCATAAAAAAGACGTGATTAATAAAGTGACTTATGACGAAGAATTTTGCAAACCTCACCTATCAATACAAAAATTTCAGATTAACTAAATCCAAAATATTCCCCATTAAACAAATCATGGTATTGAATATATTTCTACACATCTGAGATGAGGTATTGTATCTGTTTACATTGTTCAGTCTGCTGTCCTTATCTTTGTTGCCATATTCACAATGCTTCAGCCATTGTTCACTCTGGCCTTCTTCAGATCTGTCTATATTTCTAAGATGAGGTATTGTAATTATTTACACTACATTGTTCCGACTATTGTTCTCATCTTTATTGTCATATTCACCTTCAACTTCTGTCTATATTTCTGAGATGAGTTAATGTAATTATTTAGATTATTTAAATTGTTCAGACTGTTGTCCTCATCTTTATTGTCACCTTCACGTTTTGGTTCTTGTACATTCCGGTCTTTTTCAAGTGATATACATTGGAATTTTGAACCAGATATCTCAGTTTCAGTAATTTCCCTTCAGTAACTCAACTCTCCATGTTTTTGTCCACCTCTACTGTGGCCTGTATTGAACTCACAACTATGAATTACTTCAACCAACGCTTTTATCCACTGGGTCATGTGTGACATCACTGAATTAATTTTTGGGACTTGATACTCATAATCTTTTTTTACCAGAGCTCATATTGCAATCTTTGTTATTGTTGTTTTTCTCTAGCTCTCTGTATTACTGCTTCCTATATTTTATTCATGTCTATGTTTGGTCGGCTCAGGAGATTTTTGTGGCTCAGCATATGCGCTGATTCTATTAGTTTTTGTATTTTCCAGTGATGTTCTCTGTATATTATTTCAACCTCAACCCACAGAGGGCAGTGATCTCCCTTTTCCCCTCCATATATGGTCAGCCATGTCTGAGTTTTCTATCTCTTCTCACTTTACAGCTTTATGGTGTTCTAAATGAATTGTTTTACCGTTGAAAAAGAAATTATTGTTGATAAGCCTTTTTTGTGTCTCTCTGTTCTTTATAAAATAATGTGTCCAAGGAAGAAATTATTTTTGCACAGTTAATCATACTTCCTATAAAGGCTATTTTATACTTAGAAGGGCATTCACAAACTGGACCTACTCACCATCTACCCAATTCCAGATAGGTTTTGAGATTTATCAGCAACTCCTCATATCAAGGTTTTCTGCTTTTATGAATAAATAGATTGTATCTATTCCTAGCTTGTTAGTCCTGTCATGTAGCTTACAGTACCTGCTATTCCCCAGTGGTTACCAATCCAAGTACCGACAAGGCTCAATGTTGCTTAACTTTGGTCATCTGACCAGAACCAGTGTTTCAACATGATAGGACTGTAAAGCAATACAACAATTTAAAATTAACTCGGCCTTCAAACTAAAACTGACATATCCCCCATTAAACAGATTAAATAAACCTAATGGTGTTAAAATATAATAAGTAAACACCTGTAGAAGGTTAGAAGTCAAAATGATGAAAACAAGAATGATGAGGATCTTTTTTGGAAGGTAAATAATGATGATAACTCCTCATCCTAGAAATTCAAATAAAATCCTCAAGATTAGATGTTGTTTTTTTTTTTTTTATGCGACATGAATGAAACTCTTACTTTTTGTTAGTTTTACTTTTTCTCCCTTCATTTTCCATTGTCTTCAGTGTCACTTTCTTTGTTATCCTTCTCGGATACCTTTCCTTATCATACTTCGTCGCTCAATTCCATTGCATTTACCTAATCTGTATACTGCTTCAGCCCATATGGAGGGATAGAAACTGGATATGGAGGGATAGAAACTGACCTGTCCCTGGACACATCTGGCAGCCAAATATCTCATGACCTTTGCGACATCCTGCTTTTTATTGAAAATACAGACAAATGATTGGATAATCCTCCCAGTTGTTCTGAGTCTACTTTTAGCATTTCAGCACCTGAATTTATGTGATGACCTTCATCCTTGTTATCCTCTGGCTTAGAACTGTTCCCTAGATAAAAAAAAAAAATCACTTATTATTCTTTATCTATTGGTATCTTATGGCTGTTGTCAGTCAAATTCTCTGTTTTTGTTCTGAATAAACCAGCAGTTCTTTTGCCAAATTTACATTAATTTCTTAGCAAGGGATTGTAGTGGAGAAAAATCTAAAATGTCAGTTGTAAATGAAGGTTACATTACAGATTCTTAAAGCTGGAGCATTGCAGCTCAGACCAGACACCAGATTTGTTCTCAGAGTGCAGCTTCTTTCAGTTAAATGCTTGCAGTTTAAAAAATAACTTTTTGGCCAGATTGTTGCCCACAAAAGAAAACCATGAGATGAAATTGTAGCAGTAGGCAAATTTTCTTCTGGTTGTAACCTGCTGCTCTAGATGAGTGAGGCAGAGCTAAGACATGTTGAGGGGACAAACAGTCTAATGGGTGTGTCTTCTTTTTCATATTGCAGAGAGTTGTCCCTTTCTGTGCCTTTCACTTTTCTCTGGGTCTCTCTCTCTCAATTTTGCTTCCAGAAAACACTGTCTTATAGAGACAACATTCCTTGTCTTCTCAGCTATTTCTAAAAAAGTAATTCATCAAAAACTCAGGGTCTGGCTTCACTCAGTGATCTTCTTTGTCAGGATCATTTCCCCTGCTTCTTGGGAGAACAAGTCCATTAAGCTAACTTTCTTTACCAAAACAGATAATTATCAAAGTGATTTCTGTGATGAGGGTCCTAAGCAAGATATCAGCTGACACTGATATCACAACAAAGTTGTTATGAAATATGAAAAATATTGGGATTCATAATGCATAAATTTATTCCAGTCATGAAATTTCTCATATTTTTTTATGTCAACATATTCTCGACTAAAAACTGCAATCTAATTTCATGTTTGTGATTAATAATTATTAGAAGAGAGAGGTATGCAAAAATTCTTTAGGGCATTAAAGTGAACAATATAAAAATCTAACTTGTTTATTGTCTCTGATATTGTGACTTTAAAAACATGCAAATGCTACAAAGCTCAAATTAAAAATTGGCTAACCACTATACTTTTGTTCTACTGTTTTTGAAATTTTTAATTTAGATAATGGACAAGTGGTAACCTAAAAGTGTTAAATCCAAAATATTTGAACAGTTACTGCAACAACCGCATATACGTTCTCTTATACATAAAAAAGGAAAGTTATTTAGAAATTACAAAAACATTTTTATCTATGGTATTTCACAAAATTTGTGTGTGTGTGTGTGTGTATATATATATATATATATATATATATATATATAGTATATATTGTAAATTGTGGTTGTGTGTTTGCATATATATATATATATATATATATATATATATAAAATACGAAGTTTAAAATATATTTTAAACTTTGTATATATATATATATATATATATATATATATATATATAAAACTTTGTAAATATATATTTAAATATATATATAAAAATACAAAGTTTAAAATATATATAATTTAAACTTTTGTAAATATATATATATATATATATATATATATATATATATATATATATAAAATAAAAGTTTAAAATATATATAATTTAAACTTTGTAAATATATATATATATATATATATATATAAAATAAAAGTTATAAATATATATAAAAACTTTGTAAATTTATAAATATATATATATATATAAAATACAAAGTTTAAATATATATATTTAAAACTATATATATATATATATATATATATATATATATATATATATATATAAAATACAAAGTTTAAAATATATATAATTTAAACTTTGTAAATATATATATATATAAAAATACAAAGTTTAAAATATATATAATAATTTAAATATATATATATATATATATATATATATATATATATAGGCAGCAATCCTTCTTTCATGCACATTTCATTGAATGTGGCAGACAAGGTGCTTTGATTTAGTTTTTTTATACAATTTCTCATGTGAGCTAATAATTTTTTTCTTTTCAGATGATAAATTATATAAAAAAAGTTAATTTGTATTACTTGTATCCAAATGTAACTTGTATTAATCTTGTGATGTCTGAATAATTTTATACAATTTATCATCTGAAAAGAAAAAAAAAAAATTGTTGATAATTATATATATATATATATATATATATATATATATATATATATATATATATGTACAGTTTAAAATATATGCAATATATATGCAGCAATCCCAGTGGACATTTTGGCTAACATTGCCCAAGTAGTAGTTCACCATACTAATAAATGTCTGGAAGCTAAAGGCTGCTATTTTGAGCATCTTCTATAAATCCAAAGGCAACTTGTATTAATCTTGTAATGTCTGAATAAATTTAGTATTACAATATCTGTACAAGTTTTTCCTTTCATCAAGCCTGTAGATATTTTTGGTAAACTGTATAATTATTTAAACAATTTTAGTTAAATTCAACTCTCGACTAAATAATAATGTATCACATATAAAATATGTGATAAATTCTTTTCTGGTGATATTGAGCTCTGTTAAATGCTTTTTTGGCTTTTGTCTACCACACTGACAACATCTAGCTCCTTATTATGACTGAAAGACTCAAAATACTTGAACAAAAATGTGATGTTTGGACAGTTTGCACACAATTTTAATTCAGATGTACACCAAGTTATTTGACAATTGGAAAAATACCATTAAAAATGTCAACATGCTGTAGCTGAATTTAACAAAACATGTTTAAATGAATTCTTACTGCCTAAATATGCTTTACATATAATAATAAATATTTTCATGGTAATTGCTTCGATGAGCTTTCTTTGTTGGTACCTCAATTTTGCAGTATTAGATTGCCAGTTAGGTCTCAATTTCAATGTTGAAATTACTAGCTGTAACTGATTTACTACATATGGTTGCAAGATTAACAGTGAAGCAGACTGAAAATGAGATATATTAAAATAAAATTATCTGCATTACTAATCTATGCATTGGATCAAGGTAGAATGTCTGTTGGAGTCAAAGGAGGTGACACTTGTGGGCAAAGGAGTCTTATCTTGAAGATGGAAGAGTTGGTTGTGTATTGGCCTTGCAACAGGTCAGTTGACTAAGAGACTAGCATGATCTCCCTGTGTACTGCCTTGAGAGTTAACAAATGTTTGTTTTTTTTTTAATAGTAATCAGGGTGGATATATGAGTTAGCATTTTGTCATTTTGCTTCAGCAACTAAATTCATGATTGGCTCCAATCTTTAAATTTTATTTATTTATTTATTTTTGTATTTGTGAGCCAGTTGCAGTGCTCAGAGCCCCTGTGGAGAGAGCATTATTTTTATTTTTAATTTTGCTTCTATGGTGTTCACATCTGGCCAACAGGTTTTGGCGTAGATTGAGTCAGTAAGAAGTCTGACTTAAAGCCAGATATAACAACACTATAAGTTCTATGCTAACAGTTTCTTTCTCTTGTACTTCTTATTTGTGAAAATCTTTTTACAGATGCCTGCTTTCTTTTCAACTATGATCTGCAAAAATTTAAATGCAATATCAGTCAATATTTTCTACCTACTTGAATCCTGTTCTTTTATTGCCCTCTTTGCTTCTTTCACATGCAGTAACCCTTTGTATCCTAGTGGCTTTATTGCCTTGCTTGGGTTGAAATGATTAAAAACAAAATAATTACCCAGGTGTAAGAGCAAAATTGACCAAATCATGTAACAGTATAATTATCTGTTGTAGAGTAGTTTTCACAGTGGAGGCTTGTATTTCAATAAGTCATCCTAAATTAGGTTCAACATACAAAACGTTAGGAACTTGAAATAATAGTTAATGACACAGCAATCTAGTTGTGATGGTTGATACTTCAATGTCTGACATAGACTCACTCACCCAACACCACTGAGCCCAACTGGCGACCGCTACTACTACTACTACTTATTATATGTGGGAGAGTCTATTAATAATAGAATAGGTATGTTCAGGTATGACATTATCCATCTCACAAAATGTTTAATATCTAAAAAATCACTAAACTAATTCAATTTCTTTTTCCTGGTTTTCAGATAGCCATCTTGAAAGCATTTTTCATAAGAATCACTGAAAAACCCTTTGAGTTATTCAGCTTGAAAGAGAACAGGTTAAAATTATTTTAGGTTAGTCCCACTGTCTTTCCAACAGAGCAATGTTGAGAGGAAAAAAGATTATTTAGGCCTTTTGTAATGGTACCGATATTCATACTCTGGCTTTCGTCTTTATATTTCATTCAACAACCATCAAGAAAATGATGAATGAATTTAAAATAGAGGGAAACGGTAGAGAGGAAAACTGGATCAGATCACAACAAGAAAAGGAATATTCATTTTAACTTAAAGCTAAAGAGATCAATTGGAAAAAAATCAAACTCATTTCATAAGATGTTTGTCCCATGAGAAAGGAGTTTCAGCTATGATTGTCCAAAAAGCAGTAAAAAAAGACTTGAAAATGAAATTGTACGTGAAACCTGTAAGGCATCTTGTTATACCAGGACAGAAAGTTAGAAGGTTAGAGAGGGCGAAGATCATCTTGAATAAGCTGGAAAATGATCCTGGAATAATATATATATATATATATATATATATATATATATATATAAAATACCAGTATCATGTTGAACTTTATTTCAATCCTTCATGAGCTTCCAATCCTTAGCTATGAACATATCATTTTCATTTATGATCAATTTCATTGCAATACATTCTTATTGTTCAAAATAGGGTCCGGTAGTGTTATAAAAATCTTGTAGAATTCCAGTAACATATCTTTAATCATTTCTAAGATACAACAGTTTAAACCTTAATCTAACAATTGGACAAATTTGCTGTTACACCTGTTATGTATATGTGTGCATATGTATATG